CAGAGGCTAGACGGATTAAAATTAGAACTACAAAAAAAACAATCTTACATATCTGCTTGTAAGGAGTTATGTGATTGTTGAAGTTGCGATTGTTGAAGCTGCGGCTGTTGATGTTGCTGTTGTTGTTGTTGCTGTTGTTGTTGTTGAAGCTGCGGTTGTTGTTGTTGTTGTTGTTGTTGAAGCTGCGGTTGTTGATGTTGTTGATGTTGTTGCTGTTGTTGCTGTTGTGTTTGTGGAGGGACGAGCATCTGATAAGTCTGCTGGATATACTTAAGCTGATGTTGATGTGGTTGTATAATTTCTTGTTGAGATGCGATCTGCTGAGCGGGTTGCGAGCTGATTGGAACACGTGATACAGCCTGAGTTGCTTGTGGCGATATAGGAGACGTTAAAACCTGCTGTTGTCCTGATTGAGTAGCATTGTGTTGCTGGGTTGGACGTGTGGGGGATACTAATGTATTTTGTGCAAATGGTTGATTTGCGAGTGCTATAAATAGCATGATCAACAAGCACGGAATAGACATAAACAGTAATTAAGCAATAGGCCAATTAGAATACAGAAATGAATTAAAAATCAGTTAAGTACAAAGATTGTGGTAACCATACTGTGTTGTGTATATATAGATAGTAGGATACAACTAACCTTGATAACTCTGTAATACATTCTGAGGTTGAGATCCTGTCATTAACCGAGCTTGTAGTTGTTCTAGTTCGTGAGCCTTTTGCATTTTCTGTCCCGCGCTCGCCAATAGCTTTTGTCTCTCCTGCTTGAATAATTCCGATAGCCGAATCTGTTTAATAAACAACGACACCCCCAACATGGAAAGAAATAGTAAACTACCTTATCAGTAGATTCAACTCTAGCAATTAAATTACCTTTTCCAGATACGTTTTCAGTTGTTCGGTAGTATTTGACTGAGATAACTGTTGATCGAGAACGGTGTGATTTCCACGTAATTGCCCGCCAGTTATTCCTTGCTGGTATGAATTCCCGTTCTGCTGTGTGTAGTACGATGTGGTAACGGCTTGGCCGGAACCATTCAACGGTAATCGTAATGGTGGAGACTGTAAAGGTTGTTGCTGGTGTTGCGATGATGGTAGGATCAACTGCCTTTGCAATAAATCATCACCAGATGGCCGCCTTCGTTTATCGATGTGATCGTTGGCAAAATCATTCGGTAGTTGTCGTGTTCGCGTTTGATTAGATGGATGTGTATATGGTTGTATATCAACGTTCGTGGCTATGTTTTGATTTTGATTTACATTCTGATTCTGATTAAAAATGATTGATGACTAAGATTAGTATTTGTTCTCCTGACTCATGTTTCTGTTTATGTCAAAATGCAGATCGGAGGTGTAGTTTGTCCCACCATCATTAATGTTGGTGTAAGTACGACCCAAGCGTCAGTTATGTTGAGTTCAAAGTTGCAGAAATAAAAGTCAAACATCATACATCCCTTTTATAAAGTCGATGTGGCGCAGTATATAGCTTTAATTTTTTTGTATGTTGAGGAGGAAAACCATGAGAGATCTATCTCCTCCAATGTTGTACGAGCGGTAAGGCTGAGCTGTAATTACCCCAACAAATATGCATTACCCCCAAAAATCGGCTAAATACTTTCCAATAACTGCTTAGTCGGAAGACTCGAGCAACCAATCAGAGTGATATAAGACAATCAGCCCTCATAATAAACCAGTAAGGGGGTGGTACGAGCGTGACACAAACGTTTGGCGTAAAGCGTAAATATAATAGAGCGAAAGCTTTTATGACCATTTATGATGCTCTTAATACGATTCGTACTACGATGAAAGACTTTATAAGTATTAAATATTTTCAGTTGAGGATATGTTTCTCATACATTTGAACCACATCAATAAAAGAGTACACAGTATAAAATCAATGTTGTTATTCTCTTTCTATTGTTGTTGCCTGACGTCTTGTTAAGATGCCGCGCTGTTGATAAACAATTATACTTATGTATTCAGCCTGTTCATGTGAATTGCACGCGAGATGCTAAATTGGTAATTAGTCATCTTGTAAAAGTTGAGTTTATTGACCACGGGTACAATGACCTTTTTGTTGGTAGTTGCTCGAGCGCTTCTCCCAATTTTAACATTATCGAGTTACACTGACAATGCACGATAACGTATACAAGTATAGCTTATCAAAGTTCAAAGATTATGTAGTGCGATGTGCGTATGGTTCAATTGAAATGGGATAACAATGATCTCGTAATGTGCGAATAAAAAAAAATACTTGCAAAGTATGCAGATGACAAGTATAAACGCGTTTGTTTGAAATTTTTTGCATCAATTAATGACGCAAAGGGAGACAGACAAAAAGCGTTTAGATCGGACAATGTCAGCGTCTGATAATATACAAATGGTGCGTTCTATTCATATATTATCGATAATAATAATAACGGGGATGATTTAATGGCGTCACTTAAACTAACCAAATTCGTAAAGTAATATGTGTTGCTAATCTGATAATCAGTTTTATCGAAAAATAATTACTTATTAGCTGTCGTTCACATAGCAACTCTTGCCAACAATGAGCTCAATTCAATGCATACTATTAAAAGTATTCCAGAAATACAATATTATACATTACTATTACGTTATTTCCGTTCCTAAATAACCTGCGTTGGCTTTTCCCAAGTGGATTATCAATAAAAAATGAAAAATCTGACTGCAAACTTCAACACATGATATTGCGTGTTCTAATGCCGTGCGACATCTCTTGCATGAACGTGTGAAAAGAATTCAGGCGTTCTCCTCGTAAGCACGCGGGGTGCCAAGCATCATATCTCATCAGTGGCAAAATATTCAAGCGAGCAACGCAACAATGTTATTAGCAAATTCGGCTAAGAGACAATATATTGATCTTTCTTATTAACAAATCTGACATTGTTTATAATTAAAAGTTTTCGAACGACCAGCTGGTTTCATTTTCTGCTGCCTCAATGTCCGCACGAGTAAGACCAGTATCAGAGGAATCAATCCATCCGGGTGTGAACATTCCGTTAGGGAATACCTCTTTTATACGACAATCAACGCCAGTTATATGTAACGTGTACAATCTCCACCATGTTAACGAGGTTCGTCCGACGCAATGCAAATCAAAGGTTGGTAATTTACCGAGATAACTTGGTAATAGAATAAAAGAATTGTAAGCCGCTTGACCAACGAGAAATGTTCTCTCTCCTGTCCTGCATATCCCTTACCGGAATAATTGGCCAATACCGACGCCCTCGTTTTCAATCATATCAACCACTTTATTGTCACTTATCACAACGTCACTGGTTGCGTTGCATAGTACTTTCCCTTTGCAGCACAGATTTACTTCTCTGTCATATCTGCGCACAATAGTTCCGTTTCGGTTAGTTCCTCTTATATTAGGCAAATCTGTCGACGTCGGAATATTGCGAACTATTTGTACCGTAACTGCGCCATCAAACCATGCACTATTTTGATGAATTATTTTAGAATGAAATGTATAGACACAAATTGGATCAGTCGCATCAGTCGTATCGGAATAAGTAAATGCAACTGTTAATAAAAAGAAAAACCTAAGGATTTTTTGTAAATTCCCGTTGGCAGTCAAGCAGATTCTTTCGAGGCCCGAAAATCCTTCCGGAAGATGAATTATGGTCTCTTTGGTGGACATAATGTCCCCGAAATTGTTTGGTATTCCCAGAATCGAACCATTGTGTACGGACTGGCTAGATGAGTATCGTAAAGGAACATGTCCCTGTTCGGCAACTTTTTGATTGAAGTTAACTGAGGTTTGCTCATCAGCGTTTACTTGTACATTCTGATCTTCACCCATTTTATGTATTTGAATATAACTCGCATCAGGAGAAAAAAAAATTAGCCAGCGATGCAGAGACAGGTGTTTATATACATTAGATCTACAATTGCAGGGATTCAAATATACTACACTTAGTTAGAGTGGGTGATACAACGGCCTTGCTATACCTTTTCCAGAAACCACGCGACAAGGCAAAAGGGAGTGTCGGATAAAAAGTGTATATTGGAATTAATACGGCGAGGTTTTTTGAACATGATTCATGTTGATGAATCGCACGTAACGAATCTACATAAGTGTCAATATTTTTAACAATCACTTGAGCTATTGCTTAGAGACAATTACGATTGGCTCAACAGTAGTATATGTAAAAAATGTTGACATACCTGAAAATTGTTCGACCGCAAGATTATACTGGTGAGGCCCGTCTTGCATCCAACTGATTGAAACTGTCAAACTATCAAAGTTGACGCGTCGTTCAATAAAGTGCGTGATAACTATTATCAATGATATTTGATATTTTGATGTAGACATCGCGATGGAAACTTGTCAATTTATACAGTAGGTCGCACAAAAAATCCCTTGAGAGAACTCGTCGAGATTAGTTAAACATTGTTGCAAACACGATTCCATGACATTCGAGATACGTACGCGAATATGTATTCAACAATTGTTCAATACAGTTTGCAGTCGGCAAACGTGCTTATCGTTTCCCTTAAGATATGCTTATTTAACTGCACATCCGGTTATATGACGTAATTTACTATCGATTTTATAAATGTCGGGCAGTATTTTTAAAAAAATGCAGCGCACAGCATAGTTCTACAAAACTAGAAGATAATAATGCAACCGCATGCAAATATGAACATAGTATTTTACATATACAGTCAAAGCTAACGTAGCTTAAATTGTTCTACTGTTATCGGAAACTTTTGCCGTCAGGCTTTTATATAAACCAAACATGTGAAATAAAAAAGCATATTTTCAGTGACTTTTTCTTTGAAATTCTTTATTATTGCTAGCTTACTTGTTAGCGCGTATAATAAAAGTTGATTACAACTCATAAACTGCATAATTTCATAGTAATGTATAATGCATCACAAAATAGAAATTTTATAACGTAATTCCGTAGAAATTGTTGAGCAGATGATAAAGCTGTATATTAACATGCGTGATTCTAATGTGACTATTTAGACCTAATACATAAAAATGAGTTACCCTCAATATTATTGCCGCTTTTTTGTAATAAAGAATAATTAGCTATTTGCTCATGTTTTGTCACTGAAAAGAAGACGCTTCTAATGGTCTCATAATACTGTTATATTAAGTCAGTCGACAAACAACTGTAATTAACGAAAAACTTAATGTTTTATTCACCCACTCTCTGATTAGAATAGTTTGTATGGAACGCAATTACTCGGATTTAAAGCCATTGGTGAATGTAATTATATTGCCTTGTGCAGTCTATGTTCACACGGATATTGACATTTTATTTTATTCGTGTTTTGTTATTTACATATATCTTCTTTTATCGTCAGTTATTTTTATCTTGTATTATGCAATGACTACGTCATCTGCCAAGCAACAACAATTTGTTAATAACATTTGAATTCATTCGTTTTTTGACTGATTTGTCATCTAACAATTCTATTATTGATTCTTGGTTACGAACTATATTGTTTCAAAATAAAGTAAATCAGTGTTCAAAGAGAACGTTCGCATAACGTAAATCCTTGACGAACGCGCGCTTAATTATCTTACGTCACACTGTACATAATATGGAAACCAATGCATAATTTTTGTACAAGAGTTGTGGCGCAAATCGTGAAAAAGTCTAGAAATTCTTAAACGCCCATAGTAAATCGAATTGTACTGATTTAGTTATTGAATGCTTCGGAATGTCTCAAAATCCAGTTAGCCACCGATCGATCGCCGATACAATTGTAACCGTCGACAAGAAAGGCGTGCGGAGGGCGAGTCGGTAAATTCAGAAAAGAAAAAACGATGATTTGTAGTGGTCCGCACGTGTAGGAATGTCTATTTAGCATAAATCTTAACATCAATATTAATAATAAACAAACAACATAGCAATATACTAATGCAATCGATTTGTTAAAAATTATGCGATTGACTGCAGTAAAAGTAAAGTAGACGTATTTATTCAATCAACGCATTACGTAAAATAGTGTCTAAAAGTATTATATTTATCAATGTGGCAGACTAAGACAGCATCGGATAAAAATTGACACAAAACAAAGCTTTTAATCCTCTTTCCCATAGTTTGTCGCAAATAAACCCACTAGTTTGTGTTCACGAGTAATTGTTTTTTTGAAGGTTTCTCGGACGCCTCTTATATCTTTTGTTAACCTTGAAATAAAAATTTTTTTATTTAATCAAATGTCGTTTAATCTGTCACAGTTAATCAATGTTATTGAGATAAAAATAAAAATATTCACTTATAATAAATTTTACGAGTTAAAGTAGACTGGATATTTCCAGACAGAGTAAGACATCCATTCTCAAACTTTTGGTTGATAGAGCCATGATCGTTAGAGTGTTATTTGGAGGATTGGCGAATGCGATAATACGTGTATGGTTGTTGTCAATAATATGCTGTTTATGTTTATGTAATCACATAGATTGCGAATATAGAACGTCGTCCTATGTAACCAGCGTTTTATGCGTGAACCGCTGGCGTCTCTACGGCTGTAGTCGTTAATTTGTTTTAGCGTATCCTACGAGCAAGGTAGCGGCAGACTTGTAAATCGCTATAATGTCTCGCCATAGACAATTGCGAATAGTCAGCAAGAATATAAACCTACTACTTAACGAGAGAATGAGATTCGAATAGTCGCGGGAGCCAGTGGTCCAGATATACTGGTTACAACAATTTCTAATACCATTGACTGTACCATGTGAGTGTGCTATTTCTAAAGTCACTTGCCATTCCCCATAATACCCTTGCTGATCACAGATATTTTTAGATTCTCTGATCTTAACGAATATGGTTCTTCGCATACAGTATCAAAAACCAGATTAATATCAGGTTTAAGGCGTTCATTATCACCGGTATGCATTCGATTATCAGGTCGTTGCAACCTGAAACTTCGAATTCAAAACAGGCAAAACGTACGAATCACACAACTTGATAACTTACCATTACGATTACCATTTATCAATCAATGCCCATGTCAATCAATTGTTTACAACCCCAGCTTGCGTAACGTTTGCTATGACGCTCGGTTTTGCCGTTCTTTAATCACGTTCTACTAAATGTTAGTAGCATCGATGCCACATCCAGTAGGTGACATTAACATCACACCGTTATTGGACGAGTCCTTTTCTTAGCCTGCATCGCGATACCATAACAAGAAAGCGTATTACATTGTAAATCGGGGCGTGCTTCTAATTCTTTCTCACTCGGCTCGCGCGTGCTTCAAAATTTTTAAACTCGTTATTGTACAAAGCAAACCTCTTTATTATAATCAGCACAAGCTTGCACGTGTGTTTCTCGCAATTTTCAGTGCATAAAAAAAATTCACTGTCATATTTAAATAATGTTAGCATACCCCGCATCAACGTCTGAACCCTCTAAACCACATGTCACCTTTGCCCCCACTCCAAAGAAGGACAAATCAGTCCCTGTGAAGCGTGCTCCTTTGAGGTCTTCGTCTTCAATGGACTTCACGCTCAAGCAACCTATCTACCAGCCGGTATGTCAGCCAAGCTGGCGGGAAGAACTGGCCGTGCGATTAGACACCTCTTCACTTGGCAGTATCTGGAAACTCTTCGATGCACTCCTCAACATTACCCTTTGTGTGATATACGTGTTCAACACCAATCTATTGAAAACAACTATCCCGCCAGGCCGAGTTTTGTTCGAATTCATCGTGGCCGTACTGTTGGTTATACAGTATGCCCCAAAATTCTACATAACAGAATTTACTTCCTGGCGATCTTTATTCACTCGCTTGTCGCCAATCCTTACCGTCCTGGCTGTATTTCCTACTGTCGTACTCGCACGAGACTCTAACTTTGGGGATACCCCGGAATTAGTGTTCTTCTATCCCTTTCGTTTCATACGATGCTATTTGTCAGTGTGTGATTGTCTCGTGAGGAGCGAAAAGTCGGTATTGCATTTAGGACAAGTTACTAGTAAAGTGGCAATATTCGGTACCTCTGTACTTTTTCTGGTGTTGACTGGTTCCTCTTTGTTACATGGAGTAGAATTTGTATATCAGGTGTGAATGCGACTTTTTCTGTTTCTGATCCAGTTATCGTTTGGAATGTACGAATTAACAAAAGTATTAATACTGATTTCTACGTTCTGACGGCAGGAACAACCAATTACCTTTCTTGATGGTATTTCAGTCATGTGTCATAGTCGTTAGAATTTCGTTCGTATGACCATCTTCCCTTCTAATCAATGGCTCATCTCCCGCAGCTGTTTTCTTTACCACCATCATGTTGGGCACCGTCGGTTATCTAAGTGACATAGTACCACATGGTCCTTTGCCTCGGTTGATGCTGCTCTGTATTTTCGTGATGGGTTTCATATTTATTCCAGTGAGTACCAAGTTTCAATGAACGTTTGAGTGATGTAACTGTGCTATTACTGATCGTCTTTCCGTATCCTTGTTCAGTATTCCATCACCGAGATCCTTATCTTGGTGCGTTCAAAATCACCCTATGACAAAGCTTATCGCAAGGTATCGCTACAACCCCACGTTATTATTATACCGCCGACAATAGAACTTCCTTCTCTCAGACATTTTCTGAAAGAATTCTATTCCCTTGCGCATGGACCAGTTACAATTAACACTAAGGTATTTGCATTCGCTTCGATGGCTTAGTTAATACACCTCAAAGAATTCATCATGTGTTGTTTTTTTAGGTGGTCATTCTGAATCCAGCAGATCCGACTGAACGCGTGCAAACCTTTTTGTCGGATCCGGTGTACGCCCATCGTGTTCAATATATTCGTGGAAGCTCACTCGAGTCACGAAGTCTTGTGAAAACTCGAGCAAAGCAAGCGTCGGCTTATTTCATTCTTGCTAAGAAATATACTCAACAAAGTGAGGCTATTGATGCAGAGAACGTGTTAAAAGCAATTGTGAGTACCGAGAGCAAAAGTATATATTGGACCTGGTATTTTAATTCATCACTTACGATTTTTTCGTGCATTAAAAAAAAGGCATTGAGGAAGTATAATGAAGGTCCAAAGCTGTACATACAATGCATACTGCCTGAAAATAAAATTCATTTTGAAAGTTTAAGTAAGCTTGACGTTGACTCTTCATATTCAATTGCAACGTCCCATGCAGTAATCGTAACTAATAAATCAATCGAATGAATAGATCCTGAACAGATCATATGCACAGATGAGCTTAAACTTGCTATTCTTGCGCATTCATGTCTAACTCCTGGTTTCTCCACTATCCTGTACGGTCTTACCACATCGTTTGCTCACGAGACTGACGATGAGGAGAGAGCCTCGAAAGAAAGTAGTGATGTGGACTATGACGTGATGGAAGATTATCTTGATGGCCTTTCGCAGTCTATTTACACGACAACAATGTCCGACCATTTTTCAGGAACCGGTTTTCTCGCTGTTGCTGGTAATATATCTCTATTGATAAACCTCATTACATTGTGACTGGAGATGCTGATCTGTACTGTTGTTAGGTCGTCTGTACGAAGCCTTGGGCGTAGTCCTCTTTGCAATTGGCATTCCGAAAAAACGCTCACTCGGCAAATATGCAACGCATTGGCTGTATGATGGAGATGCAGATGATAACGACTTTAGAAACTATACAGTTCTTATTAATCCTGGTGACTATGTAGTAAAGGGCGATGAAATTGCATTTGTTATTGCCTCGAATGCACCTGCAATCGAGAGAATTTCTACGTTCGAAGAACAGTATCCACAAACACAATCTCGGCCCTCAATGATAGGGCCCCCACCGTCAGAACGAGAGCCGTTGTTGTCTGCAGACACGTTGAAGAATAACGGCGGTGGTGATTATTTCGGAATAAGAAAAGTGAGAGACCAAATTCCCCGCACTCCTTCACCTGATCACATGCACTATCCTCATAAACCAGAATCGATAAGTTCGAGACGACAGCGTGCGTTATCTACTCCACTCGCGCTATCAACTGATCATGGTGTTGAACATCATCACGGACATCAGAAATCACACTCGCATCCTAATGATTATGAGCTCGGACACTCGTTAACTCATCCGTACGATAATGATCATTTGATCACTGTTCTGGAGAATATTACTGATCATATCATATTGTGTGATTACTCGACTACTTTCCCAAGAAATTTAGATTGTTTCGTTAGCCCATTAAGGATGTCACATTTGGAAAGGATAATACCAGTGGTTATTCTGTCTCCAACAAGGCCGTCTACCAGTCAATGGAAGATATTGAGTCAGTTTGATCAAGTGTATATCGTTCAAGGAAACCCAATGACAAGAGAGGGTTTGGAGTGCGCAAGAGTAAAATATGCTAGACAAGCAGTACGTATTGAATAACAATAGAAGGAAAAGGGACTCGGCCAGCAATATATATCACTAATGTTCTATTTATATATTAGGTCGTTCTAAGTGATTCCACAAGAATCCTCAAGTGAGTATAATGGAAGACGTTTCTGAATTTTATGCATGTTAATAACTGACTTTTTCTTAATAGAAATGGAGAGAAGATCGAAGATGCACCGGCAATGCTTGTATTCTTAAACATTAAAGCGATGTGTCAAAATGATATTGATATATTTGTCGAGTTTGTGCACACTGATAACATGAAATTTATGTCTGAAGACTCGCAAGCCATTGAGAAACACTTAAAGGGTACGTATGAAAATGGATACATTGGGTGATATGTTGTATTCATGATGGAACCATTACCAATCCAATGTAATCTGTTGTAACGTTATTTCCCTTTCATACCCTTACAGCTCATCATTCGCCAGCATTTATGCAAGGGACTTGCTTCTCGCCTTCAATGCTTGACAGTATAATCTGCCAATCATTTTATCAACCTCATTTAGTAGCGACAATCAATCAAATTCTATTTGGTGCACCTCCCCTTCATTTGCCATCGGGTGCTACATGTCCCGCACCGGCGCACTCTCATTTGTTCAAAATCGCCATTCCTCAACTCTATGTAGGATACGAGTATGGATCATTGTTTAAATATATGTTGGAGGAAAAGAAGGCCGTCCCGTTGGGGTTGTATAGGCGTACTGTAGTGAAGAGTAATTTAAAGAATGGGAAGGAATTACGATATGTGCATACGTGTCCCAAGTATAACGTCATATTGAGAGAAGATGATATGATATTCGTGTTTAGCAAAAAGGCACCTGTTATAAATTGAAAGTCTTTCTTTTATCATTACTGCTATGTATAATACTAGATTAGTGTACATAATAATCATCAATTGCAAAATTAACAATAAAAACTCATGAAGTACCCAAGCATGCTATCACGGAGCGCCAAGTTCCGAAGATCACATGCTAATGACACGTACGACAATGATTTTTATTATCATATACACGCCACGTGATGCATACTTGGGAAATTTGCGAAATAGTTTTTTTCGCACACATCGTGCAAGTTCGCAACATTCTCTATTGTTTCAATTTGCCATTGCGATTTCGTCAATACTAAAGCAAAACATTTAAGTGATGATTCATGGGACGAAAACTTAATGAACTATGTGATAGGGAAATGATGTTGATTTGAAGGATGATATTTGAAACCAGATGCCCAAATTAGGGAAAAAAAACCCAGCTGTGACCCTTATGAAGTAGGGAAAACGTCAAAACAACGAATGGTGTAGGTAAATTGGCAGAATATGATGCTAAAAATATAATCGCGCAGAAGGATCATGGGAGAAATTAAGAACAAGTGAATCGGATCAATTTTCTTAAACCGGAGGTTCAAAGACACGCAAGTGCTTACATAAATCATTATGATTTCAGTGTACTTCATTTGGTGATTGATAACGATATTCGGACGCTGAATCTGTGGAAAAATCAAACGTCAAACTTTGTTAAAAGAATATATTAGCCAATAAAATTTCTTGTAATACTTAACTCGGTTATATCCCCGCTTCAGACCCAAAAAGTCTCCGCCCCAAGATGGGGATATAAACGAGGGATGACTGTATATCATAGGGTTAGTTATGTATGATGAAAACTTTCACAATCAGGTGATAAATTTTGTGGTAGTTAATTACCGCGTATAGTAACAATCATCAGGTTACATGATTGCATCATGCATGGAGAAGCTCGATTTTATTTTGTGGTACTAGTGTATAACCCGTCACTTCGTTGACAGTGTGGTTATTTTATATTTTACATTAATACTTTTATTTCGCTAACGTATCCATAAAGAAATAATGAACATTTGATGGTCATCTATTGGATAATTTTGTAACACGAATATGCAATGTCCGTCCACCTTGCAGCATCCAGTTTTTTTTAAATTATATATAGATAGTACGAGAGTAGTCTGAATTTCGATTTTTTCGTCCACACATTTTAATTTAGCAATTAAAATGTTGGTAATTATTTTTTTAACACATTGTAAAATAACTCGGTATGGGATTCACATTACAATTTTTACATTTCATAATACTGTATATAAGAAATGCAAACCATCAGGATCACGACGCGTGCCACAAAGTCAATATAATAACTACTATTCTCGAATTTCGAATAAAATAATAAAAAGATTATGCATTATCTTGTCCTCTTAAAACTAGTTGTTGAACTTGATACAGATCAATAGTAAAATTAGCAGGCACAGTTTCAGTTGCAAGAGGATTAGGAACAGTTGGTACGTACTCAACTGCAAGTGAAAGTGGAAGTACTGGATCCCAAAAAACTTGTGCAATTGGGATAATGACTTGATATTGAGAATGCTTATCTTCAATTTGCTCCGGCACGTAGGTTGGGTGCATTACAGGTAGTAGGAGTTTGTTCTTTTCGAAAAAGAGTTCCAAACTGCCACCAAAAGTATTTAAAAGTTGTTAGATTGTTTAACTATTAAAATATAAATTACAGACTTGCTTCATACCTCCTGGTACCCTGCTCTCTGTTGCCACAATCTAGCCGTCATAGATCTATGATATTGCCCGAGATCGTTCTTTGTATTTCTTTTTTTGTGTAATTTAATTCCAAGCACATATCGTATGTAAATTTGATTCATCCATAGTTGGCACTTGTCATTCCATACTTTAGTGAATTGACAGTTGTCTACTTCACAAACGATTCGCGCATGCGACCAACCCTATGTTGAAAATATTAACTTTAGAAAATCAAACAACAAAATGTTCATGCGTAATAGTAAAAATAAAAATACATTTCTGTTTCCTGGAGGAGGGCCTGGATATGGAATACGAGGCTGTTGGACATGACTCGCATTTGGGTATACCGTAACATCCGCTGCAATTAATTG